CAAGGGATTTAAAGACTTGAACGCGCGCGCGGGATGGGTGGAGAGAAGAGGGCGGTCAGCGCGCGCTCCTGCCCTCTCTTGCGGACTGGGAGGTTAGGCGTGCCAGAGCGCGGGAGATGCTGCGGCGCCTGCCCAGGAGTGCGGCAGGGCTCGCGCTCTCTCTGTTCGGGAAGTTCTATTGGACGTGGCCCTTGGGGAGTCTTGCGCCCATCCCCCGGGTTCCTGCGCGTTGAAAAGGCGAGCGCGGGGACAGGATGTGGCTACAGGTCGCGAAGGGGAGACCCTTTGGCTGGATTAAGGCGCAGATTGCATCCAGCTTCCGTCCTGCTGCTTTTACTATAGGTTTACGGTACTGTAGTAAGATAAACTTATTCAGGCCGTCGCGATTCTTAGTACGTTCTCTATAGTAATGCAACTTGGATGGAAGTTGGTGCTTTTTATTTATTTTATAAGATGGAGCAACTGTCTGCTCAGAATGGCACCTGTATTGGAAATTATTCCCTCTAATATTCTAGGGCCCCATCCTTTATATCTTCCCCTAAACTTCCAAGGAAATAAATGTTTTTTTAAAAAATTTCAGTGCATAAGTAGACAAGCTATGGCCATCCCTACGGACTGCAGTCACCCCTCATCGTTAGTTACGCTGCCTAGGACTGATAAACATTCCTTGACCCCCGCTCCTCGTAATGGCCCTGCGTTACCTTAGTGTTTAAACTTTGCTTGTTATTTGGGGGAAAAATGCTCATCATTAAATTATGTGAGCTCTATATGTGACATATGTGGAATGATGCATTTATTTCCCACAATTATTTACATCCTTCATGGTAAAAATCAGGCATTTATGGGAAATGGAAAGACTGCCCTTCCACAGGATTAGATGTGGATTTGGGCTATTACTACCATATTTTCTTCTCTTTGTTTTTACATCACCTATTTAAAACCCAAGGACACGACTTAATGACTGAATAACAAAAATTCATTTAAAAGTCCACATAGACTACATTCCTATCTATGAAGAAGTCCCATTGAATTTATTAAAATTTACAGACACCCCGAACAATAAAATACTGTATGTCACCAATGTGATTTCTTATGCTTCAGTTTTTCATTAACATCTCTTTAGAATGCTGGCTGGGGAATTCTGGGAGTTGAAGTCCACACATCTTAAAGTTGCCATGGTTGAGAAACATTGAATGATGGTATTCTGCACTGATTTTGTAAACTGGGAGTAAGACAGTGGTTCTGCTCCTTCTTCCAGGATTGGTTCTGGAGATGATCAACTGGGACATCAATTAAATTTTTGTATCATGGCATCAAACTATTTAGAATCTACACGATCACGATATAGTGATCAGGAGATTTAGAATACACTGATGACACCCAGCTTTCTCTTTCCTACCAAAACTGGACTGATGCTTGGAAGTAGTTATTTAGACAAGCAACAACAGACTGAAGTAAGATTCCCAACAAAATAGAGTTACTCTGTATGGGCCATTTCTAAATCTGAGAATTAGATACAGTCTGGATAGAGTTGGACTCCCTCTGAAGGGGCAGCTGTGTAGGTCAGGGTACTTGATTTGACTTTGTCACTGAAGTTCAAGTGGTCACAGTGCCTACTTCCAGCCATGGTCATATTTTGGCAGGAATAATTTCTCTACATTAATCCATGCTCTGGTAACCTCCATATTATACAGTGGTACCTTGGGTTACGAACGCCTCTGTTAACGAACTTTTCGGGCTACGACCAGCTCCGGCTGCAAACATTTACCTCGGTTTGCGAACTGCGCCTCGGGGTAGAACAGGATACGCAGCCATTTTTCCGCCCCTGACACGTGGTCCACAGCCATTTTTCTGCCCCTGACACGTGATCTGTGACCATTTTTCCGCCCCTGACACGTGGTCCGTGGCCATTTTCTGCCCCTGACACGTGGTCCGCGGCCATTTTTCCGCCCCTGACACGTGGTCTGTGGCCATTTTCTGCCCCTGACACGTGGTCCGCGGCCATTTTTC